TTTCTTTCTTTTTTCTTTATTCTGTTCCGCAGCAGTGAATTCCTCCATTGTGTCTTTCAGATCACTTATCCGTTTTTCTGCCTCAGTTATTCTGCTCTTGATTCCTCCTAGTGTAGTTTTCATTTCAGTTATTGTACTGTTCATCTCTGTTTGTTTGTTCTTTAATTCTTCTAGGTCTTTGTTAAACAGTTCTTGCATCTTCTTGATCTTTGCCTCCATTCTTTTTCCAAGGTCCTGGATCATCTTCACTATCATTATTCTGAATTCTTTTTCTGGAAGGTTGCCTATCTCCACTTCATTTAGTTGTTTTTCTGGGGCTTTAGCTTGTTCCTTCATCTGGTACATAGCCCTCTGCCTTTTCATCTTGTCTATCTTTCTGTGAATGTGTTTTTTGTTCCACAGGCTGCAGGATTGTAGTTCTTCTTGCTTCTGCTGTCTGCCCTCTCAAGAATGCAAGAGTTTTCTGTGCATTAATTTTGTATCCTGCTACTTTACCAAATTCATTGATTAGCTCTAGTAGTTTTTGGGTAACATCTTTAGGATTCTCTGTGTATAGTATCATGTCATCTGCAAACAGTGACAGCTTTACTTCTTCTTTTCCAGTTTGTATTCCTTTTATTTCTTTTTCTCCTCTGATTGCTGTGGCTAAAACTTCCAAAACTATGTTGAATAATAATGGTGAGAGAGGACCACCTTCTCTTATTCCTGATCTTAGTGGAAATGGTTTCATTTTTTCACCATTGAGAATGACGTTGGCTGTGGGTTTGTCATATATGGCCTTTATTATGTTGAGGTAAGTTCCCTCTATGCCTACTTTCTGCAGGGTTTTATCATAAATGGGTGTTGAGTTTGTCAAAAGCTCTTTCTGCATCTATTGAGATGACCATATGGTTTTTCTCCTTCACTTTGTTAATATGGTGTATCACATTGATTGATTTGTATATACTGAGGAATCCTTGCATTCCTGGGATAAAACCCACGTGAGCATATTGTATGATCCTTTTAATGTGCTGTTGGATTCTGTTTGCTAGTATTTTGTTGAGGATTTTTGCATCTATGTTCATCAGTGATATTGGCTTGTACTTTTCTTTCTTTGTGACATCTTTGTCTGGTTTTGGTATCAGGGTGATGGTGGCCTCGTAGAATGAGTTTGGGAGTGTTCCTCCCTCTGCTATATTTTGGAAGAGTTTGAGAAGGATAGGTATTAGCTCTTCTCTAAATGTTTGATAGAATTTGCCTGTGAAACCATCTGGCCCTGGGCTTTTGTTTTTAGGAAGATTTTTAATCACAGTCTCAATTTCAGTTCTCATGATTGGTCTGTTTATATTTTCTATTTCTTCCTGGTTCAGTCTTGGAAGGTTGTGTTTCTCTAAGAATTTGTCCATTTCTTTCAGGTTGTCCATTTTTTTGGCATATAGTTGCTTGTAGTAATCTCTCATGATTCTTTGTATTTCTGATGTGTCAGTTGTTACTTTTCCTTTTTCATTTCTAATTCTATTGATTTGAGTCTTCTCCCTTTTTTTCTTGATGAGTCTGGCTAATGGTTTATCAATTTTGTTTATCTTCTCAAAGAACCACCTTTTAGTTTTATTGATATTTGCTATTGTTTCCTTCATTTCTTTTTCATTTATTTCTGATCTGATATTTATGATTTCTTTCTCTCTGCTAACTTTGTGAGGGTTTTTTGTTGTTGTTCTTCTTCTATCTCTAATTGCTTTAGGTGTAAGGTTAGGTTGTTTATTTGAGATGTTTCTTGTTTCTTGAGGTAGGATTGTACTGCTGTAAACGTCCGTCTTAGAACTGCTTTTGCTGCATCACATAGATTTTGGGTCATCATGTTTTCATTGTCATTTGTTTCTAGGTGTTTTTTAATTTCCTCTTGGATTTCTTCAGTGACCTCTTATTTAGTAGTGTATTGTTTATCCTCCTTGTGTTTGTGTTTTTTACAGATTTTTACCTGTAATTAATATCTAGACTCTTAGCATTGTGGTCTGAAAAGTTACTTGATGCAATTTCAATTACCTTAAATTTACCAAAGCTTGATTTGTGACCCAAGATATGATCTATCATGGAGAGTGTTCCATGAGCACTTGAGAAGAAAGTGTATTCTGTTGTTTTTGGGTGGAATGTCCTATAAATATCAATTAAGTCCATCTCGTTTAATGTATCATTTAAAGCTTGTGTTTCATTATTTATTTTCATTTTGGATGATCTGTCCATTGGTGAAAGTGGGGTGTTAAAGTCCCCTACTACGATTGTGTTACTGTCATTTTCTCCTTTTATGGCTGTTAGCATTTGCCTAATGTATTGAGGTGCTCCTCTGTTGGGTGCATAAATATTTACAGTTGTTATATCTTCTCCTTGGATTGATCCATTGATCATTATGAGTATCCTTCTTTGTCTCTTGTAATAGTCTTTATTTGAAAGTCTATTTTGTCTGATATGAGAATTGCTAACCAGCTTTTTTTTGACTTCCATTTGCATGGAATATCTTTTTCCATCTCCTCACTTTCGGTCTGTATGTGTCCCTAGGTCTGAAGTGGGTCTCTTGTAGACAGCATATATGTGAGTCTTGTTTTTGTATCCATTCAGCCAGTCTATGTATTTTGGTGGGAGTATTTAATCCATTTACATTTAAGGTAGTTATCAATATGTATGTTCTTATTACCACTTTCTTAATTATTTTGGGTTTGTTTTGTAGGTCTTTTCCTTGTCTTCTGTTTCCTGTCTAGAGAAGTTCCTTTAGCATTTGTTGTAAAGCTGGTTTCGTGATGCTGAATTTTCTTAGCTTTTGCTTGTCTGTAAAGGTTTTAATTTCTCTGTCAAATCTGAATGAGATCCTTGCTGGGTAGAGTAATCTTGGTTGTAGGTTTTTCTCTTTCAACACTTTATATATGTCCTGCCCCTCCCTTCTGGCTTGCAGAGTTTCTGCTGAAAGATCAGCTGGTAACCTTATGGGGATGCCCTTGTATGTTATTTGTTGCTTTTCCCTTGCTGCCTTTAATATTTTTTCTCTGTATTTAATTTTTGATAGTTTGATTAATATGTGTCTTGGCCTGTTTCTCCTTGGATTTATCCTGTATGGGACTCTATGCCCTTCCTGGACTGGATTGACTATTTCCTTTCCCATATTAGGGAAGTTTTCAACTATAATCTCTTCAAATATTTTCTCAGTTCCTTTTTTTGTCTCTTCTTCTCTGGGACCCCTATAATTTGAATGTTGGTGTGTTTAATGTTTGCCCAGTGGTCTCTGACACTGTCCTCAATTCTTTTCATTCTTTTTTCTTTATTCTGCTCTGTGGTAGTTATTTCTACCCTTTTATATTCCAGGTTATTTATCCATTCTTCTGCCTCAGTTATTCTGCTATTGATTCCTTCAAGAGAATTTTTAATTTCATTTATTTTGTTGGTCATCATTGTTTGTTTGCTCTTTAGTTCTTCTAGGTCCTTCTTAAATGTTTCTTCTATTTTCTCCATTCTATTTCCAAGATTTTGGATCATCTTTACACTCATTACTCTGAATTCTTTTTCAGGTAGACTGCCTATTTCTTCTTCATTTGTTTGGTCTGGTCATTTTTACCTTGCTCCTTCATCTGCTTTTTGTTTCTCTGTCTTCTCATTTTGCTTCACTTACTGTGTTTGGGGTCTCCTTTTCACAGGCTGCAGGTTCGTAGTTCCCGTTGCTTTTGGTGTCTGTCCCCAGTGGCTAAGGTTGGTTCAGTGGGTTGTGTAGGCTTCCTGGTGGAGGGAACTGGTGCCTGTGTCTTGGTCAGTGAGGCTGAATATTGTCTTTCTGGTGGGCAAGACCGTGTCTGGTGGTTTTTTTCGGGTGTCTGTGACCTTATTTTGATTTTAGGCAGCCTCTCTGCTAATGGGTGGGGTTGTGTTCCTGTCTTGCGAGTTGTTTGGCATAGGGTGTCCAGCACTGTAGCTTGTTGGTCATTGAGTGGAGCTGGGTCTTAACATTGAGATGGTGCTCTCTGGGAGAGCATTTGCCATTTGTTATTACGTGGAGCTGGGAAGTCTCTTGTGGACCAATGTTGTGAACTCCGTTCTCCCACCTCAGAGGCATAGGACCTGACACCCGGATGGAGCACCAAAACCCTGTGAGCCACAATTTTGGGAAGTCTGAGGTCTTCTGCCAGCTTTCAGTAGGTGTTCTCTAGGAGTTGTTCCACATGTAGTTGTTTTTCTGATGTATTTGTGGGGAAGAAGGTGATCTCCACGTCTTACTCCTCCGCCATCTTGAAGGTCTCAGTCCTGTTGACTTTTTTTTTATTCAAAATATAAAATTTATTCAAAAGCAATAAAATAACAGTTTCTATGAAGTATGAACTGTATATAATAAGTAAACACATCACAATACCAAACCTGTTGACTTTTTAATGATGGCCATTCTGACTGGTGTGAGGTGATACCTCACTGTAGTTTTGATTTGCATTTCTCTAATAATTAGCCATATTGAGCATCTTTTCACGTGTCTATTGGCCATTTTTTACATAACTTATGTTAGTAGCCCTAAAGAAAATAGTCTTAGAAGTAGATTTGCTGGGTCAAAGTTTATGTGCATTTTAAATTAGATATGTATTTCCAAATCACCATTCAAGGAAGTGTCTCAAATTTGCATTCCCACTGAGAGAATATCAGGGTGCCTCTTAATCCACAACCCCATTAGTATTATCTGCCTTTTTAAGCTTTGCCAGTCTGATGGGTGTTTTTATTTGTATATACTTAACTAGTAACAAAGATAATATCTTTATATATTTATTGGCTATTTGAAGTTTTTAGTGATTCATACCCTTTTCACACTTTTCTGTTGGATATTTTTGTGCATTGAAAGCTATTTGTGGATTCAGGTCATTAACTTTGCCTGTCATATGTGTTTCAATATATTTTCCTTGATTGAGATATGACTTTTATTATTTGTTTATATTATTTTTTGTTCCTTTCTGAATATGTTAGAAGTAGGAACTTCTATTGACTTTTTGTTTTTTCCTCAGTTCCAGTGTCTCGCCCTATCCTCACCCTCAGGGCCCCCAGGGCCCAGGCTGTGGTGGGGGATGTGGTGGAGCTTCACTGTGAGGCCCAGAGAGGCTCTCCCCCAATCCTGTACCAGTTTTATCACAAGAATGTCACCCTAGAGAGCAGCATGTCCCACTCTGGACAAGGAGTGTCCCTCAACCTCTCACTGACTGCAAATCATTCTGGAACCTACTCCTGTGAGGCCGACAATGGCCTGGGTCCCCAGTGCAGTGAGGCAGTGACACTTTCCATCACAGGTAAGTTTCCTATTCTCAGGCCACAGATGTGGCCAAAAGATTTCCTCCTAGGATACTCTGATAATCCTTGTGATGCCTGACCAGGACAGTGTTTCTCAGGGACATGTACACAAAGCTAGATGTTCTCCAAACTGTTATTTTCATTAAGTTTTTCTGAAGGCTTGTCATTTGGGTGGGAAAGGAGGCTAAAGAAGACCACCGAATTTAATACTCTTCAGCTAGCATCATCCATCCTGACCCTCAACCCTTGCATCAGCCACAGACATGAGCTTCCCCACCAAGAGAAGTTCCATCCCCTGTGCCACACTTGCACCTCATTAGCCTCAGGAGTCCTGGTCCCCTCAGTTCATCCTCTCTCCCAGGCATCAGCTCCAGGGATCAGGGCAGTTCAAGACCACAAGCCTCTCCATCTGGCTCATGCCTGGGGTCTCCCCCTCAGGGCTGACAGGGAGCAGAAGTGGCCCTGTTGCCACCGGTGTCACCGGGGGGCTGCTCAGCATGATGGGTCTCGCTGCCATAGCACTGTTGTTCTACTGCTGGCTCCCGAGAAAAGCAGGTGAGTAACTCCCTAGTTAACCTTTGCTTGAGTCCCTGTCCTTCCCATCTCCATTCCCTCAGGCCCATGCTGCCTTTGGAACCAACCGCAAGCTCTCAAAACCTCCTTTCTGCACAATTCCACAACTCCTACCTTCCTCTCTAGTTCCTCCAGAATTTGTCTTAATCAAATGCAAAGTTTCCAGAACAGCCCTATTGGGTGTAAGATGTCTTCACAAGATGCAGTTTATCTGACATGACAAATTACAGTGTCTTTCCCTCTCTACCCTTACAAGACCCCCAAGGAACGGAAGAGGAGAAGAAAAACTCTGAGAAATAGGAGTGAGAACAGAAACCAAATATAATTTGATAACTTACTGATTTTGTAAATGTATGGTACTTTCATAGCCGATCAAGTCTATTTTCCCACATTCAGCTATTGACCATTGTTCTTCACAAACTCCACGTTAAAAGATTATGGATTGTGGGCTACCCTTTTGTATTATAACTATACCCATCTGGAATCCAGGATCAGTAGTTTTTGCCCAATCTGCCACCTCCCTTGGACATAGCAAAGGAGGGTTCACATCTTAGAGACAGTGACTCCTGGAAGGTTCTAGGTGAGCCTCCTATGAGCTGTGCTCCTTGTGAAGTCTTCCTTCTCCTGGACTCAATGTCTCTCTGCTTTCCTTTGCAGGAAGAAAGCCTACATTTGACTCCTCCAGGTAAGACCTGCCTATATTGCCGTATGGTTAATGAAATGCCCACCAAGTGTGAAAATGGAATTAAATCTGGTTACTGCTGAGAGCACGGTCACTGCTTCATGTCACTGAGATGGGTTGTGCCAATTTCATGTTGCCACCTCCCTTGGGATATCTCAATTCCCAGGACCTTCTCACCCATCAGCTTAGCTAAATAGGCCTTTTTCTTGCAGCAAGTGTTAATTGCTTTTTATTTATTAACTTACATCCTTGGTCCAATGTGGCCTTGGTTGTTTGAGTGTTTGAGTGACACTATGACCACTGAATCCATCCGTTTCCTAAGATGGTCTTAGCTTAATCAGCCTGGAAAGCTCTGGTCATGGCCAACCCAACCTAACCAACATCTGTTGTGATGACAGCCAAGAAGATGGAGTCGTGCAACTTGGCCACCCCAAGAGACCTCTCTGCTAACAGGAGGTGGTGCCTGTGAAGAAGGGGCTGCCATCTTGGATTCCAAAGGCTGCCTTTAGGAGTCACACCACAGCTCACAAACTATCCCTGGGCAAGCTTATGGTAGCAGCATCCAAACCATCCTGAGTTCCTCTGAGCCTTTTTGTTTGTTTGTTTTTTTGGCCATGCTGCACAGTTGCAGGATCTTAGTTCCCCTACCAGGGATTGAACCCGAGCCCTTCTTAGTGAAAGCACCAAGTCCTAACCTCTGAACCACCAGGGAATTCCCATTTGAGCTTTTCTAATTATGGATTTCACTCAGATACTGATCTCTCTGGGAGTGTAGACCTTGGAGCCAGGTTTGAATCTTGGCTCTTCCCCTTTCTAGTTACATAGTCTTGAGCAAGTCATTTTACTTCTCAGAACCTCCATTTTTTCCATCTAAAAAATAGAGATAATAATAGAATCAACTTAATATTGTTATAGGCACTAGCACAGTGACATACAGGTGATCATAAAATCTGGATTAATATTATGATTTATAATATAATAGTCCATAACAATAGACCATTTGTTATATGCTCATCTACGTTTCCAGGCTTGGCAACTATCCTGTGGTAAAGACTCACTAACAGGGAATGATCCTTATAGTTACTTCATCAGGATTTCTGGGAAACATCAATGCTTCTATCTTACAGGAATCAGTCAGCTTCAGACCCACAAGAGCCCACCTACCACAATGTACCAAGCTGGATAGAACTACAACCAGTGTACAGCAATGGTGAGGACAGAGGACCCTCCATTTGGGCAGGGACCCCAGGGTTGGTCCAAGAAGTGGTGGGAGAAGAAATGAGGAAGGGACAGTACAGAGGCCCAGAGGGCTCTGCCCCCTCCAGAGAACAAACTCTATCGGGGGGAGGAGGAAGTAGCAAGACAAGGGGCAAGAACCTTAGAGTCCTCTCAAACTTCAACTTCTCTCCAAGTAAATCCTAACAGAGGAGACGTGGTGTACTCGGAAGTCCGGACCGTGAAGGTGGAGAACAAACAGGCAGGTAAGACCCAAGGACCCTTGATTTTGGCGGTCTATTGCTATGTGTGGCTCAGTCTCCACCCCTTCAGTGGGTCTGGGCCAACCAGACACAGAACTGCCCCTCAGGCTGGGTCACTGGGCTTCTTACTTTGTGCCCACCTACTCTGTTGCGATTAACCCAAGCTCACCATGCAGAGCTGCTTTCTCCATTCTCCATGGATGGCCTCAGCATCACTTGAGTAACAAAGTCATCACCCTGGGCAGTCAGCTCCTCAGAGCTTCAGTGTCCCATCTGTGAAATGAGACAGGACTGTCTATCATTCCCTACCTACTTGTACCTGTTTTCTACTGCTGCTGTGGCAAATGACCATGAGGGTTTAAACAATACAAGTTTATTATCTTACTGTGCTGTAGGTCAGAAGTCTAACACAGGTCGCACTGGGCTAAAATCAGTGTCGGCAGAGGTCCTTTCTGGAAGCTCCAGGGGAGAATGCATTCCCTTGCCTTTTCCAGCTTCTAAAGGACACTCTTTTCCTTTCTGGGGCTCATGGCCCCATCCCATCCCCTTCAAAGCCAGCAAGTGGCACCTCTCTAACCATTTCTTCCATAATCAGTGCTCCCTTTGACCACAACTAGAAAAAGTTCTCAGATTTTAAAATTCTCCTTAAAATTCCACCTGGATAATCTAAAATAATCTCACCATTTGAAGGTCCTTAATCTTAATCACATCTGCAAAATCCCTTTCTCATCTTAGGTCACATATTCACAGGTTGCAGGTATCAGGACATGGACATCTTTGTGGGAGACATTATTCTGCTTATCACAGTCTCTCATAGGGTTATTGTGAGGATCAAACGAGGAAGTAGATGTGGAGATGCTATTACAGCAGCAGAGTTTAAGCAGCTTTTATAATGAGTATATGCAGGTTGTCTGTCTGTGTCATTAGTCCTCACTCATGGTAGATGGTCAGCCGTGAAGAATCCCAGCCTGGTTTCGTCCTGCTCAGAGCAGGAAAGAGAAAGCCTTTGGGGCTATTCTAACTTTGTTCTGTAAAAAGTGCCATGTGATTTTTAGCCATTCTGCTTCCTTCTCTGGTTTTTTGATTCTTCTTGTATAAAATTAAAAGAACTCTATTTTGTTCCATTCTTGGTTCAGTGGCCCACCTCTAAAACGTATGAACTCATTCACACTTACAATCCCCTTTGAAGTGTGTTGTTACCCCATTTCACAGATGAGAAAACAGAGGCAGAGAGACCTTAAATGACCAGCCTGAATTCACAGAGCTAACAAATGACAGAAGAGTCTGTCTCTAGAGTCCAAGCCTTAGGCCAAGCTCTGCTTCTCAGGGCAGTTCCAGGGACCCTTGAGGCTCATTCCAAGCCAAAAAGAGAGGCTTGCTTGATGAATGCCATATTTCATTACAGCTTTAAGACAATATAATAATAATAACAACTTCTATTATCATATCAACATGTATTGAGCAGTTCCTATGTGACTGGTACAGTTCTGAGTACTGTAAATAAATACATTTTAAAATATATATATATATATATGCCATAAATATGTACACACACACATATATTTAAAGTTTGTTTGTTTATAGCCCTCAGAAGTGTACCTGCACATTGGAACTGCTCAGCACATAACAGATGTTAGAAATCAAACACACACACACATAACCCTATAGGTAGGTATTATTATTCCCAACATACAGATGAGACACCCGAGGCAGGAGATACTGAGTGACTTGCCCAAGGCCACAGAGGTGGCACGGCTGACCTGGGGCTCAGTCTGGGGTGGTCTGGATCAGAAGTCTGCTCTGAACCACTGCACTGCCTCTGCTCCAGGCCAGGCTGCTTTTCCATAATATACACTATGAATCTATGATCAAAGCATGAACAAGATAAAAAGTAGATTTCTTTCTTTTGAGAGTCCCTGGGGAGCTCAGCATGAGGAACAAAGAGTGGAGTGATACTGAGAGAGTTGGTCGAAGCTGTGAGGTTGAGGTTCTTAGGAAAGGTTCAGTGTAGCCACATGGAGATGGCTGTGGCTGGGCTGATGGCACAGAGGCAAAGAGAGAGTTCTGAGTTCACAGATGAATGCTTCCTTTCTTTCCACAGCAGCCTCTGACCCAGAGCTTCTCAAGAACACGGTGAGTCCCGTGACCTGTGTACTCTCCCACCTAGGGCCTGCTGGCCTCTGGCCCTCACCTATGTGCTCCTTCCCCCAGGATTCCTGCGTCATCTACTCCCAGGTGAAGGGGGCTTACACCGCAGCCCCTAAGCCCCAGCTCTTGGCTGCATCCCCTCCTCAAAGATGAGTCCACGCAGCTCCCGACTGCTGTCTCAGCCTCTGCACCCAAAAACCACCCTTGGGGGAGAAGGGACATCAAAGCAGGAAGATTTAAACCTTGGGTCCTAGACCCAAGGCCACACCCAGCAACCTGTGCATCAAGTGCCCACACCCTAGTGTGAACAGAACACAGGGCCCCGCAGGACTCCCGCCTATTTCCAAAGTGACAACCCTGGCCCAGTGGTCTTTTTCTTAATGACATGTGCTCCCAACCCAGGGCCCATGATGTTGCCTGGCTTCCTTAATGAACTTCAGCTTTGGTCACTATTCCGAGTCCTACCCCCATACACATCCCCACCATTCCTCCATGAGGACTGCCCCTAAAATCTGCCACGGATAACCTGCTTTCAGTGGGTGCTTTTCTCAGCTGCAGTCAGTCTGGTAAGGCTACAGTGGGCTCTGCCCAATGGGACAGCACACACCGCTGGAGACATGGACACTGCGCTCGTCATGGACCTCCCCATGATGGGACTGCATTCCACACTCCCCCTGTCTGTCTGAAACTCTAAGCTCAGAATCTGACACCAGGATAACTCCTCTCCTGCCCATGTGCCAATATCTACCTGCCCAAGTAAGTGGACTTCACACCTTAGGCCCTAGATCCTTCCCTTCCTGCCAGAAGTAACCCAGGACAGTCAAGGCCAGGAGGACCAGAGATGCAGATAGAATACATATTGAAATATAGGAGGTGCTCTATCACTATTTGATTGATTGAATGAATGAATAAATGAAGAAGATATTATGGGTCATTATGGTGTATTCCTACCCTCAAACTGGCATCTGATCCAGTGTGCTCCCTAGTAAATCCAAGAAGTACTCTTTTCTCTTCCCTGAGTAGGAAATAAACTAAGAGAAGGAGTTTGAGTGAGGAAAGCTGTGTTCAGAAAGCAGGAAGCCTTCTCAAACTTTAAAGTGCTTATGTAAGGAGGGTGGGAGGGAGACGCAAGAGGGAGGGGATATGGGGATATAGGTATACATATAGCTGATTCACTTTGTTATACAGCAGAAACTAACACAATATTGTAAAGCAATTATACTCCAATGAAGATGTTAAAAAAATAATAAAATAAAATAAAGTGCTTATGGGTCACCTGGAGATCTTGTTAAAATGCAGATTCTTATTCATTGAGTCTGGGTGGAGGCTGAGATCCTGCATCCATAATAAGCTCCCACGTGATGCTAATGCTACTGATCCTAGGAGCATACTGAGTACCCAGGCCCATGAAGAAGTACCGTGGGCTCTGGCTGCCCACTGCCCAACTCCATGGGGGCCACTCACGTAGATCGCATGCTCCCTGCACCATCTTTCCGCTAGAACACCATCAGATCCTGCTGCTAAGAGAACTTCTCAGCAACATGCTGGGTTTTGTCAGCCTCCCTAGGTCAGTAAAAAGCAGCTGCTGTCATCTTCGTTTCCCCACCTCAGGCCTCACACTTTCCCACAGAGGAAATGAATACGCTGTGAATAAATATACCTCTTAGCCTTCTCCATTCAAAGTTGATCTATCTCGCCTCTGAGCCATGGGATGTTTTGATCCATTTTTATGATGTCCATCACACCTCATCTTGATCTCCACCCTCCGGTGGATTGTACAGGGGGAATCGTTTCCAAGCCACATTGCCTGGATTAATAAAATCCTTGACGGGGCATTCATGGCCCTTCTCCACATAGTACCACCTACTTCCCTCTCCAGCTTTTTCCGTGGTCATTGTCCTCCACACCCTACACTCAATCACCAGGTGATCTTCCCCATTTTCTAACATAGCCACTCTGCACTTCCTCCTCTTAGCCTTTTCCGTCATTTGCATATGCTAGAATCCTGCTTATTCACTGGGCCCCAAGTCAAATGTCAGCCCCTACTGGAAATGATCTGTCTTTGGATTCCCATAGCACTTGTATGCCGTGAGACATGGAATCACTAATGGCTGATGTTTGGAGGGAACTTAGAGTTTATCTAAGCCACTTCTTTAATTTTTTGGTTGTAAATTGAGAACGAAAGAGGAAGAGCAACTAGCTGAAAATTAAATGACGAGTTAGTGGCAAAGCACATACTAAATTAAACCCAGGACTCCTGGTACCCAGGACAGTGCTCTTTCCTTTACACGGCTCCTCTGCTACAGAGACGTGTGCATTTTTGTGTTTCTCCAACAAGACTGAGAGTTCCTTAAAAGCAAAGCCCAAGCAGCCAGCATGGTACCTGGCATTCAATTGGTGCTCAATGAATTGTTGTCGAATTGGATGTCCATTAAATCTCCCTGATGAATAAACATCACCTCTACAAATTTGTCTATATCATTACCTGCTCTCTCTTAACCCAAAGAAGTGCAACACATGTCCTTCAATCTTAGAGTTTTTAATAATCCCAATAAAATCATTGCTACAAGGTCCACCTGTCAGTTTGAGATGAATGCTGTGTATTGTTCAAAACAAGAACAAGATGCTTGTATGAACTGCAGGTATCTAAAACACCACATAAATCCCAATCAGTTGTCCCCACAAAACTTGCTCTCCTTACTGTGTTCTCTTTCTTCCTTCCTTCTTTCTCCCCCCTCCCCCTTCTTCTCCTTCTTCCTCTTTTCTCTCGCTCTCTCTCCCTCCCTCCCTCTCTTTTCCTTCTTCTTCTTCTTTTTCTACTTGAAGATAGCACTCTACCCACTCACCCAAGACAGAAGATGCATAGCCGTCTGTGAGTCTCTACATTGAATTGGTCACCCAAGCCAATCCAGTCAACTTTCTTTCCTTTCTTTCTTTCTTTCAGCTGCACCACACAGCATGCGGGATCCTAGTTCCCCAACCACCAGGGATCAAACATGGGCCTCCTGCAGTGGAAGCTTGTAGTCCTAACCACTGGACCACCAGGGAATTCCCCGTCAGCTTTATTTTTGAGATATCTCTCAAATCACATCCTCCTTTTAGTTCCTACTGCCACTTCCTTAGTACAGGCCTTCATCACCTACCACCAGCATTACATAATAGCCTCGAAACTGGTTTCCCAACTTCCAGATTCTCTCTTTGCATAACCATCCCCAACAGATTTGCCAGTTCGACCTCCCAACAGAGTTGCTAATATGACCTTTCTAAAAACCAGCTCTATTTATTCCTCTGCTTGAAATCTTTCAATTATCCAGATTTCAGGCTCTATCAGTGGACACAAGGGTCTTCAGGATTTAGTTCCAACTTACATTTTCAGCTCCACCTCCCAATATCCCCTTTAACAGGCAAGAGCACACACCATGTGCTCCTGTCACACGAACTTCTTTTCATTTCTTATACGCACCACCTTCTTTCAAGCAGCCATGGCTTTTTTCCTAGTAACTTTCCCCTTTTTGTTCGGTTAAACTCACTCATCCTTCAACATTTAGTTCAAATGTCAATACTCAGTGAGGCCTCATTTCTCTCGACAGGTTTCTATAACCTTTGGCATTTATGTTTCTTGTAGTCCTTACAAAAGTGTGTGTGTGTGTGTGTGTGTGTGTGTGTGTGTGTGTGCACGTGTGTGTGTGAGTGCATGCACCCACGTGCTTCTCTCCCTGGACTACTTAAAGCCTCTCTAGGGTTGAGTGTTATAGCTAGTTCTATTTTATAACCCTCCTCTCATCCTCGCATCATGCCCAACACACAACACAGGGCCTGGTGAATCACAGATGCTCAATTCATAGTGAATAAATGAATGTGCAACAGTGTTGAATGGACTTTTCCTGTTTCCCTCAGAAAAACGCTTAAGCCCCAAAGCTGAGCTCAACAGTCGATAGTAACTCACATGTTCTGAAGAGGAGCTTCTGGACACATCCCACAGGATTGACTCAGAAGTGGCCACATGACCCTTGGGTACTTCCCTGGTTCCTCACACCTCCTCTATCAGCTGAGCTCAGAGTTCATTGAAAGGAGTGATGGAGGAGATGGGTGGTCTGGTGAGGGGCACTGGGTGTTTTACTTTCCCTCCCAACTCCAGCCAGGGGAAGGCAGGACTCCTAGATAATGGCTTAAAGAAGGGAAGACAGCCCCTCATCTCACCACTCAAGGGGAACTGTTGAGCCTCAGGTAGAGAGCAGAGCCCAGTGAGAGAGCTTTTAAGAAATCTTAACACAAGTGCCCTGGGGTTTGGGGATGTTAGAGAGCACACTATTCCCCACTCCTCTCACGGGAAGGGAGTTCCATTAACACCACACTCCTGGCTTCTAGTGGTCCAGCCCCTCTGTCTTCTTTTCTCATAGCCAAGAGCAGCCCACAGGACCATGTGTTCCCCTCTGTCCTAAGTTTTAAAAGACCTGCCTCTACAGAGGGATACTTACAGCTTCACAACCCCAACCTCAAGGTTTAGCATAGGAGGCTTCAAACCCTGAGAAACAAAAATAGAGAATTCAGGGGAGCAAAATGCATAGCAAGAGATGGAGGCTTCTGCTCAAAGCAGGGCAGACGACTCTATGCTTTGGTGGTGCTTACCAGGCAGAGATCATATGGGTTTTTTACTGTGTTTTTTTATGACAGTGTATTGGAGTTGACTTTTGGCTGCTGAACTTGAGACAGGAGCTTTAAGTCTTAGGCTGTGGTGTTTTGTGGCAGGGCACTAGAACTTAGACGAGGTTTTGACCAAAGGCTGTAGGGCTGGGGATACACACACTGACCATTAAGCAGTGGGGAGCAAGTACACTGGACTCTTCTGGGTGCAGTGGCCCTGGACACGACCTACACTATTCCCATGGTTGTGTATTCAGGCAGTTGCTTCTGCCAGTCAAGGGTTCCAGTTCCTTATGGCACTTGGGGGCATGACTTGACAACACCTCCCTCACACACATTCCATGAACCTTCCACCTCCACTCCGGGGCTCCCCTATTGGGCTGAAGTGCAAATGTGCAGGGAAGTTAACTTTGGGATATTGAAAGCAATGGATAAATGTTGCTCCCTTTGTCCTCTCCACAGCCCCCTCCCTAAATGCACCATTCAGAGATGTAAAAGCTTTATTTATATGACCTCTCTGAGGACTCCTTGAGTGACCAAGCAATCAACCTATTGCAAAACTCTGGCTAAGTTGGGTCTACACATTCTTTTTTTTTTTTTTTTTTTTTTTTTTGCAGTATGCGGGCCTCTCACTGTTGTGGCCTCTCCCATTGTGGAGCACAGTCTTCGGACATGCAGGCTCAGCGGCCATGGCTCACGGGCCCAGCTGCTCCGTGGCATGTGGGATCCTCCCGGACCGGGGCACAAACCCATGTCCCCTGCATCGGCAGGCAGGCTCTCAACCACTGCGCCACCAGGGAAGCCCTACACATTCTTAAATGTGTTCTTCTTTCCCAGCCTCCCTCCTATTCCCTCTCCCTTCTACTTCCCTGGGATTATACTCACCCACAGTGTGTTAGCACATGAGCTTCCCCTTCAGGCTATCTTCTAGGTGAGAGTCAAGGGCCCCAGCAAAGCCAGCAACCTTGAAAAAGGAAAAAATCCTTCAACAGATTGACTTTCTTGAACAGCTGTGGCTGTGACCAAGCTTCAGCCATAAAACAGAACCTTTTCATTCAAGGCCTTTGATATATTGGGAGCCAGGGCAATATTTTCTGCTTTCAATGCAAGGCAGCTGACTTCCCTGTGTGTCACAGAGCTTTTCAAGCTGTTAGGAGTTAGGGCCTTGCCAAGGTAGGAAGGGCTGGGTCTGCTGACCCAACCTCAGCTGAAC